GATTATTATCTGTGGTCAGTGTTCGTTTAGTCGTGAAACTGCATCTTTTTTCCGTGATTTTTACTCGACTTATGATCAAACTCACTTTTGGCTCGTGATTATAGTATTAGTGTTAGTTGTGTGGTGTTGAAGGGGATTTGTTTACTTGTTTGGTGTTGAAGGGGATTTGTTTACTTGTTTGGTGTTGAAGGGGATTTGTTTACGTCTCTGATTATTCTTGTGTGCTTTGTCGGGCCCTGTGATTGCTAGCTGCTATTCTTAGTGCCAAGTCTCAATTCTCTCCCCTCTGTCCGTGGCATCCAGCTGGGGGGGGCGATATGATGTAAATGTTGACCTTTTCATGTGTTTTAAGTATGTACGTCGGTGTCGGTTCATGGTGGCAACGACTATACAAACTGAGAGAGAGAGAGAGAGAGAGAGAGAGAGAGGGTGTGGGTTGAGGTGAGTCACTCCACAGGTGTTCTGGGGGGAGGGGTGAGGGAAGGAAGGATGGAATGTGATAGAGGGAGAGAGAAGCAGTGCCAAGCATAAGCCCAGACTAAGGGGCCGGGCAAGTGTTGTTGTATGCTTATGTGCCCAACACTTGCCCGGCGGTCAAGCTAATATTTTTTGGTGAATAACTAGACGGGAATTTGTAATTTGTCAGGCGTACAGTAGCTAAAACAACTATCTGTGCAGGTGGGGGTCGATATGCTCCGAAATATTACGTGTGACTAGTGACAGCCCTCATATACCAAAATTTATCGTCCATGGTCTCATATTGTTTCCCTAAAAGTATGCACAGATAGTTGTTTTAGCTACTGTACCCGTTAACCAGGGGGGTCCGTCATCAGTGTACCAGGATTAGTGACTTACTGTGTGTCAGGTGCAGGCAATTTACCTATACATTAAACCCCCAACCAACCTCTGGTATGTCAGTGTCAACTTGTCAACGGAACCAGCAAGCTGAGAGGTCTTAGACGTGAGGTGACAGTAGTTATGACATCACATTACAAGTGTTACCGCCAATGAGTGACGGGACACAGGTGATCTATGAGTTGATAAACACAAATGTGAATGTTTTTTTATTTTTTTTATTTAACTTTTCTCGTAAAAAAATCCGGCCATGCAAATTACCTTCGAAAAATTGTCAGAGTAAGAAAGATATTCAGGGAAGTATATGTCAAAGGTCACTTCGCCGGGACGAGTCACCCATGATCTGTAGAGCCTCAGAGAAAGTACCTTAACTCTTTTTTGTTTATTTCATCATAATATTTTCTCTCGCCTCTCCTTCCCTCACTCACCCACCACAACATTTAATGGCAGCAGTTAAGTGTATATTTCAAGGTCGTGTGTGTGTGTGTGTGTGTGTGTGTGTGTGTGTGTCCAAGGTTATATGATATATTTTAGCACACACACATATACCTTTGGACACACACACACCTACCACACACACACACACACACACACACACACACACACACACACACACTCTGATACACTATTACGAAGACCATAATTACGCTCTGCCAATCTTCCGGTCACTCTGATTACAAGATTGTAAGGATTGATTAGACGGTTGTGGATGTTGCGTGTGTGAGGTCACGCGCGTGTGGCTGACCTGACTTGATCTCCCCAAACCCAGATGACCCCTGGCACTGATGGCCTTTTTTTTTTAAATTATTTATTGGGCACTCCCCTACATCCTGTGTAAGGTGAAGCGCAGAAGCATTTACAGCGCCCAACAGGGAAGCATGCGGAGTTCATGCTTGCCTTTATGTCAATGGTTTTTGTCATCAAGTTATTGGAAGCTCCAACAACTTTCCCTGAATACGAATTCGCAACTTTCAATTTACACCAGGTACCTACTTTACTGCTAGGTGAACAGGGATTAAAGGGGGCTAGGAAGTAAGTCCAAACAACTTCCACCGGCCCGGGAATCGAACCCGTGACATCTCGCTTGCGAGGCAAGAGCGTACCACCGGCGCCCCCTTGATGGCCTTACGAGTGTGACCTTCCTGTGACTCTGACCCCAAATAACCTTACCTATGTGGCCTACCTTTGACCTATGATCTCTCACTTATCCGGAATATCAACGACTTTCCGGATAACATATACCTCAGCCGGTTACACAAACCTGTATCTGCCGGCCAATCTGAAATCTTACAACCGGATTGTCTTACAGTCCCACTCCACCCCCCCCCCTCCTGGCCGGATGTGATTGATTTAGGTCCGGATATTGATTTATTGTAAAGTGTACATATCGACCGGATGTAGGGTTGTTAGGGTGTGACTGATGGTGATTGGTGTAATTTTGTCTCCCTCTGTGTTATTGGTCGGGATGAGTCGGATGGTCGGGTCGGATGGTCGGGTCGTATGTAGGGGGGGAGGATGGCGTGTCCCGTGACGATTAAATGCTCTAATCTAACCTAATCTCCACGTGAACCCCACCCCCCCCTAAAACAATACATTAAATCCACTTGCATTTATTATTATTGTTTACATGTCTATATTTACCATTTACAAGTGAAATATAACTGAAACAAGGAATGCTTTGAGTGAAACATGACTGAAACGAAGAATGAAATTGCTCCATGAAATACGGAACAGTGAATGAAACTATTGTGAAACTTGATGAAACTGAAATGAACCATTATGAAACAAAACTGAAATGAACCTTTTATGAAAAAAAAACACTGAACCCTTTATGAAACAAAACTGAACCATGATTGAAACTGCTTCATGAAACACTGACTGAAGTACCATTGTAAAACTCAGGTACAAAGAGTCGAATCCCATATAGAACATCATTGTGAAACGCTAAATAAACCTTTTCTATGACCTTGTTAAATGAAGCCTTAAAGTTAATAGGTGGTAAGTGAAGCTTGGTTAGTATATGAGGAGCTTCGAATCCTTTGTGAAGCCTCGAGCACTGTATTAGCCATAAATGGGTCTTGATGAAGCCTACGGTGAGGTCTAGGACTCAAGTGTAGCCTGAGATATGTGTTGGTGAACCTTTGATGAAGCCTCAGAAGAGTTATAGCACTTTTTGAAGCCCCCAGGAGAAGCTGAAGGTTCCAGTGAAGCCTAGGAAGAGTGTAGGGGAGCTCTCATGAAGCCTATAGTGGTTTTAAACCCTACTGAAGCCTCTATAGAGATTTTTTACTCCATAATGAAGCCTAGGACTATGTGAAGCACTCTGGGAAGCTTAGTGTAGAAAAGTAGGAAGCTTTAATAGGAACAAGCTTCAAGTCAACTTCTGTAAAATCGGCAGGGAAGCTTCTGGAATTACATTGAAGCCCCTGGAAACCCCCCTAAGCCTTGATAAATCCGATAAAAAGATTAATGGAAACCTCGTAAATCCCTACACTGAAACCCCCCCTCCAAAGCCTTCGTCAAATCTACAGTGAAGCCTCAGGAAAAGAAGCCCTAGTTTGTATTGAAGCCTCCATCCAGACCAGCTCGTAGGCGTGGGGACCTCAACCTGGGGGCGGCCTGGGCGTGTCAGATGCGACCCTGCTATGTGGAGTGATGGGCGTGGCGGTGGCGTGGGCGGAGGGGGTGGTGCAGGCGTGGGTGGTAGGGGGGAGCGCCTCCGGTTGACCATCACTACCCTAGTGCTCGGTGGCCCACGTGAGTCTACAGGTGTGTGAGGACAGGTGTTTTGTGAGCCTTAACACACCTGTTTTGAGAGTCTTGGCACATCTGTTTTGTGAGCCTCAACACACCTGTTTTGAGAGTCTTGGCACATCTGTTTTGTGAGCCTTAACACCTTTTTTGATAGTCTTTACACACCTGTTTTATGAGTCTTGGTACACCTGTTAGTGAATTGTTGCACCTATGTTTGTCTGTGTATGTGTTGCTCTTATACCCCACCATGAGTGTACAGAAAGCATATATAGAGTTATCCTCGTCTGTCTGTCTCTGTCTGTGGCGGGGGAATTGAGAGAAAGTGACAGGGAAGAAAGTAGATAGTAAAAACAGTAATTAAATAAAAAGGAAAGTAACAGTAGTAGTAACCAGTAGTAGTAGTAGTAGTAGTGTATTGTAAATGTTAGTGAATTTTTGTGTACAATGTGTGTAAAAATGTTGCTGTAATGTTAGTTTTTTACACTTATTTACTAGTGTTTGGATGTTGTTGGTGTTAACTAAACATTATCTTATTATTATTGATGTTAATTGACCATCAGCTTAAAAATTTAACCACATAACTGACTTCATTAATGTATCAATCTCTGACGTCATTAATGTATCTATCTCTGACGTTACTAATGTATCTTATGTATGACGTCACTAATGTACCCTATTCTTGACGTCACTAATGAATTTTACCTCACTTATGACGTCACGAATATATCTTCACACACCTGCCTCATTAATATGCCCGGCACCTGTTCAGCTAGAGGTCAGCTTAACCCCCTTCACACACACACACACCTGTTTCCTCTGTAATCTACCTGGCCTGGCCTGGCCTACGTGTTAGTTACCGTAATGTAACCTAACCTAACCCAACCTGTTCGTCACATAAGTTAATCTAGCCTAATATAATCTAACCTATCTTATCCTTACCTAAGCTAACCAACCTCTAACTTATCGTAACCTACCTTGAATCCAATCTAACTTACCCATAACCTAATCTAACCTTAATTAAACCAAATCTAGCCGTAATCTAACCCAATCTCTCCCTAATTAACCCACTGCTCTCTCATACCCGCTAGTTTGTCAAAGGTTTGTGTCTGACCTTTTGACGCTAAACACATAACAGATCTGTGTTGTGTTGAATGTGTATGACAAGGAGGAACACCGTGAAGGGATTTCTGTTCGTCTAATTATCCCGCCGACACACACGACAATGACTGCTCTACTTGGGTGATACTGCAGGCATTGTCGTCTCCTTAGTGAACACCTAACAGCTATCGCTATGTGAAGTGTTAGTGGAACATTTTCTCAAGTGACCCCCAACCTCTCCCCCAACAACCATCACAACTAATAACTCTCCCTGTGTTTCTGTCATCCGCCAGAGCCGTCACTACGCAGCGTGGTGGTGGAGGAGAGCGTGAGTGATTCCCTGGTCGAGCGGTTCCTTCAGTGTCCTGGTGGAGGTGGAGGGTGCGAGCGACGCCTCCACTCTATCACCCTGCTGAAGAAGGAAGGCTCCCTGGGGGTCATGATAGCCGAGGGTGCTGACCGGGGGCTCTACATCCAGGCCGTGTCACCGGGGGGTCCTGCTGCCCTGGAGGGATCGCTGAAGCCTGGTGAGTATCCGAGTGGGGCCCTGTGTGTGTGTGTGTGTGTGTGTATACTTCGTCAGTAAAATATTTGTTTACACACGCACACACAGTTTAGTCGTCCGTCTGGCTGGCGCTCACCTGGCCATAGTGTTGTTATTGACCGAGGGTGATGGACGGAAGGAGAGGTGAGTGACCCGTCCATCCCCTGTCTATAGCTGCTGCGGGTTCCTGTACATAATAGACAGGTTATGAGAGAGAGAGAGAGATTGGCGATAATGGTGATGGCTGAGGATGGTGATACAAATACAAGTATAGATGCAGTTTATAAAGAGAAAAATACAGGTACAGTACGATACAGGAAACTCTTCCATGAGTAGACACTGTTCATGTCACCTTAACCATATACTCGTTAAGTTAGCCAGTCAGTCCTAGAAACATTGGCCACAGGTGAATATTAGCTGATTGAACAGGTGTACCAGCAATCACAAAGGGACATTAACCTAACTTAAACAACCTTACGTAACCTTAACCTGGCCTAAACCTAGTCTTTAATGAACCACTAATTTTAATAGGTTTAGTTAGATGTGGTCAAGGGCCTATTACAATTGAGATAATCTTCTGGTTAAAAGGTTATAGTTAATGGCCTGGTTAAGGGGTTAATTTTGAATGGCCTAGTTAAGGGGTTAATTTTAATGGCCTGGTTAAGGGGTTAAGCTGCTTGTTGTTGTGTTGGTTTTAAAGGTTACAGCTGGTTCGGGGTATTTGTAGCCGGCTGGAGTCACGGTCGTTGTATCCGGCTGCTGTGGTGGTGGTGGTGATTGGGTTTGTGGTTGCTGTGGTGTTGGTTGGGTTTGTGGTTGCTGTGGTGGTGGTTGGGTTTGTGGTTGCTGTGGTGTTGGTTGGGTTTGTGGTTGCTGTGGTGTTGGTTGGGTGTACGTTTGCTGTGGTGGTGGCGGTGGTTGGGTGTACATTTGCTGTGGTTGTGGATGCTGTGGTTGAGTCTGTGGTTGTTGTGGTTGTAGTAGAGTTGAGAGCAACAACGTGTGGGCATTAGCCAACTGTGCAGTGTTGGGACCATCGCCACCGTGATCAGTGTGTTGTGGTAACTGTGGTGGAGGAGGAGGTCGTGTCTGTGGTAACTGTGGTGGAGGAGGAGGTCGTGTCTGTGGTAACTGTGGTGGAGGAGGAGGTCGTGTCTGTGGTAACTGTGGTGGAGGAGGAGGTCGTGTCTGTGGTAACTGTGGTGGAGGAGGAGGTCGTGTCTGTGGTAACTGTGGTGGAGGAGGAGGTCGTGTCTGTGGTAACTGTGGTGGAGGAGGAGGTCGTGTCTGTGGTAACTGTGGTGGAGGAGGAGGTCGTGTCTGTGGTAACTGTGGTGGAGGAGGAGGTCGTGTCTGTGGTAGCTGTGGTGGGGGAGGAGGTCGTGTCTGTAGTGTGGTGGAGGGAGGAGTAGGAGGTCGTGCTGTGGTAACTTTGTGGTGGAGCAGGAGGTCGTGCCTGTGGTAACTGTGGTGGAGGAGGAGGTCGTGTCTGTGGTAACTGTGGTGGAGGAGGAGGTCGTGTCTGTGGTAACTGTGGTGGAGGAGGAGGTCGTGTCTGTGGTAACTGTGGTGGAGGAGGAGGTCGTGTCTGTGGTAACTGTGGTGGAGGAGGAGGTCGTGTCTGTGGTAACTGTGGTGGAGGAGGAGGTCGTGTCTGTGGTAACTGTGGTGGAGGAGGAGGTCGTGTCTGTGGTAACTGTGGTGGAGGAGGAGGTCGTGTCTGTGGTAACTGTGGTGGAGGAGGAGGTCGTGTCTGTGAAAGCTGGATTTGTTGCTGTGATTGCGTGAGGATTTGGGTGTGGGCGGCCTGGGCGTCCAGAGACTGTTGTTGGGCGTGGGCGGCCTGGGCGTCCAGAGACTGTTGTTGGGCGTGGGCGGCCTGGGCGTCCAGAGACTGTTGTTGGGCGTGGGCGGCCTGGGCGTCCAGAGACTGTTGTTGGGCCTGGGCGGCCTGGGCGTGGGCGTCGTGGGTGTACTGGAGTAGCTGCTCTCGCGTGACCTCCACTACGTATGGTTCAGCTCCTGGGAGACTCGCCTGTAGAAGGAGTAGTGACCTTATATATCGACCAGGGTGAATGTTTATGTTACCGCAGCATCATTGTCCTCACAGTAGGACACCTCGTACATCAACCAGTAAGGACACTGTTGTTGTTAATGATGTTGATGTTGTTGATGTTGTTGTTGTTGATGTTGTTGTTGTTGATGTTGATGTTGTTGATGTTATTGTTGATGTTGTTGTTGTTGATGTTGTTGTTGTTGATGTTGTTGATGTTGTTGTTGTTGATGTTGATGATGTTATTGTTGATGTTGTTGTTGTTGATGTTGTTGTTGCAGCAATTCAAACATTCATACAAAATCTACGAAAATTTGTAGGGTGGTGTGTACATTTTTCTGAGACAATTTAAAAGCCAATGGTTACCTGAATGACCTTGTGTTCTCTGATTGGTGTCGATATGTAACGAGTTTTGTATTTCTATATGATTGCCATTGGTATATGATATATTGTCGTACCTGAGTGTTTTATGTGTTATCTGATTGTCATTGAGTTACCTGGTGGGCTGGGCATGGTGTTACCTGTCTTAAGTGCCGTGTTTACCTGTCTTAAGTGCCGTTTTTACATGTCTTAAGTGCCGTGTTTACCTGTCTAGTGCCGTTTTTACATGTCTTAAGTGCCGTGTTTACCTGTCTAGTGCCGTGTTTACCTGGTAGATGGCGCTGTTCTCCCCTACATCCAGGAAGGCGTCAGGTGGTTGGCCGCTCTCAGTTACCTGGGCTTTGTATCCCCAGTCATCTACCATGTACCTGTGTTGATGATGATGATGAGGGCGAGGATGATAGTGATGAGGATGATGGTGAGGATTATTGTCATTATTATTATTATTATTATTATTATTATTATTATTATTATTATTATTATTATTATTATCAGCAACCATAATTACATTTTAGTTTGGGAAGGAAAGTCAAGAAGTTACACACACACACACACACACACACCTGACAGTCATGTAGACACCGTCAGGCCGCAGGTAAGAGTAACTACCCAGCAGGGGACCGTCCAGGGGCTGCTGTTCCTCCCTCTTGCTGTAGACTGAGGACAGCCCACTCATGATGCTGTAGTTGAACTCGTACTCCATCTGTAGTGTGTGGGAGACTGCGTTGGTTAGGTGTGATTATGGTGTAGAAACCTAACCTAAAATAAAATAACATCAACCTAATCCAACTTAACGCTAACCTAACCAAACCTAATCTAACCTAACCAATCCCAATCTAACCTAACCAATCCCAATCTAACCTAACCAAACCCAACTCTAACCTAACCAAACCCAACTCTAACCTAACCTAACCAAACCCAACTCTAACCTAACCAAACCCAATCTAACCTAACCAAACCAATCTAACCTAACCAAACCTAATCTAACCTAACCAATCCCAACTCTAACCTAACCAAACACAACTCTAACCTAACCTAACCAAACCCAACTCTAACCTAACCCCTTAGACCCAACTCTAACTAACCAAACCTGATCTAACCTAACCCTAACACACACAGGAATAACATGAGGTAGAGTGAGGTACTGACACACTAATATTATTATTGTTATTAAATTTAGGAAGGGTTTTGAAGGATTACTAAGCACATGTGTAGATTCGTGTGTGTGTGTGTGTGTGTGTGTAAGGCGAAAATAACATATGTGTAGAGTGTGAATTACGCTGGTGTGTGCTTACCTCTGTTTTACACACACACACACACACACACACACACACACACGGGGAGAGATACACAGTGATGATAATTAGGTAGACAGAAGGAGAGAGAGTGAGAGAGAGACTTAATTCGAGGGATAGTGATGTACAACCCTTGATAAACACGTGTGGTTTGTCAGGTGTGTGTGGACAGGTGTGTGAGGGCAGGTGTGTCGTGGCTGTAAGTGTGTGCAGGTGTGCCGGAAGTAGACAGGTGAGGAAACGGTGGGGGGAGTGTCAGTGTACAAACCTAAGGGGAGGGGGGGGGTGGGGGAGGGTACGTGGCATTACACTTGTAGGGTATCCCCCTCCCCCCCCCTCTCTCTCTCTCTCGTAATTCTCGCCCGCCAAAGGGATGAATTTGGCTACTAAACCTGTAATACTCTCGTGGTTATAGGGCTTCCGTGTGGCTACTTTCTCGCTAACTCACAGTTTGGGGTTCACTCAGAGTTACGGATCCTCTGTGCTGTACTGGCTCTGACCCTTGTGAATCATTAGTGGTTTGTTTCAGTGATTCGAAACCCTTTGAGGACGATGGTTTTAGTAAGATGGTGATGGCTTAACACCGTCGTTGTTAAAGGGTTGAATCGTCGTCCTCAAAGGGTTAAATCGTCGTCCTTAAAGGGTTAAATACATAAACAACCACATATCATCAGTTACTCACAGGTGACGAACTGGTGGGCGTGGGCGGTGATGGTGGCGGGGGCAGGAGGGGTACAGGACGAACAGGTGAGGGGGGCCGGGGTAAGCCAATCACGGTCCCAACTCCTGTGGAAGCAGAGGCGTCGGTGTTGATGGGTGGCTGATGAACACCTGTAATAAGAGAGGTATTGTGGCCAGGGTTCGAATCCATGTCAGACTAGGTTAGCGTTAGGTAAGGTTAGCATTGGGTTAGATTAGGATAGGTAAGCATTGGGTTAGGTTAGGGTGGTTAATCTTAAGGTAAAATAAGCTGGGGTGGTTAAGCTGAGGTGGTTAATCGTCGCATAATCACACACAAAAGATGACAAGTAAACAAATTAAAAAGAATAAATAAAGTGAATCCAGGAATGTACTTACCGACAGGAGAGGGAAAGCCCTGTGGGGAGGGTGTGGGGACAGCGTGACAGACTCCCACACACAGTACCATCACCCACAGCAGGAGTAACGTCATCATCCACACCTGTAAAATTGTGTTCGTTGACATTTTGTTAGTAGCGTCAGGTAACGCGCGCGCGCGTGTGTGTGTGTGTGTGTGTGTGTGTGTGTGTGTGTGTGTGTGTGTGTGTGTGTGTGTGTGTGTATGGACATATAGACAGTGTACGTGTGATTATTTAAAGATACATATAGTCACACAGCTGATTGGGTAAATAAACTACAATACATACATACATACATACACACACACACAATGAGATACTTACAATAGTGATAGGTGGCAGTTATACCCCTCCACTGTAATACCGAAACAAACTCACTCAACCCAACACTGAAACTGGACTGGGACGAAACTTGAAACAGACTCTACGGCGTCTAACTGTCGACTAAAGGTCAGAGGTCAGCGCCTGGGTGGTTATATAGTCCCTGATTATCTGGAGGTTAGGTCATTATAGGTCAGGTGAGGTCACTTCCTTGTGTCCAACTTCATAAACAAGAATTGCCGGGAGGGGGATGTGTGTGTGTGTGTGTGTGTGTGTGTGTGTGTGTGTGTGTGTGTGTCACGTAACTTCTTCTTTGCACCATAATGAATAACAAACAAGTGCCCGGGGTGGGTGTGTGTCAGGTCAGGTCAATATAACTTGGTGATCTCGACCAATAATCTCAACAAAATTATATATGGTTTAACTTAAGGTAGACTTTCATTGTTGTTGTTTGTTTTGTTTTTGTTTTATGTCGTCTTGTTTTGATGACTGATTTAGGTAATAAATTAAAGGAATCAATTTAGGTTAGGTTTGGTTTGATTAGGTTAGGTTAGGAATCAATTACGTCTGTTTCTCGTATCTCCAGTTAAGGGAAAATATTTGACTTAGGAGACTTTTAAGAATGTCGACTACTGAACCTCTTATGTTTATCACTAATATCTCTCTTCATCTTCCTCTTAACCTTAATCCTCTTATTGTTATTATTATTATTATTTCTTCTTCTTTCTTTCTTTTCTTTGCTTCTTATTATTGTTTATTATTATTCCTACTCTCTCTCTCTCTCTCCTCAACCTTCTCTCAGTTCTCACTCTTATCTCCCCCCCTCCTCCTCCCCCACCTCCTCTTCCTTCCCCACCTCCTCTTCCTTCCCCACCTCCTCTTCCTTCCCCACCTCCTCTTCCTCCCCACCTCCTCTTCCTCCCCCACCTCCTCTTCCTCCCCCACCTCCTCTTCCTTCCCCACCTCCCTTCCTTCTCCACCTCCCTTCTTCCTCTTCCCCACCTCCTCTTTCCTCCCCCACTTCTCCTCTCCCCACCTCCCTTCCTTCCCCCACCTCCTCTTCCCTTCCCACCTCTTCCTTCCCTACCTCCTTCCTTCCCACCTCCCTCTCTCCTTCCCCACCTCCCTCCCTCTTTCCCCCTCTCCCCCCCCACCTCCCTCTTCCTTCCCTTCCCCACCCCCTCTTCCTCCCCCCAATCTCCCCTTTCCTCCCCACCTCCCTCTCCCCCCACCTCCTCTCCCCTTCCCCACCCTTCCTTCCCCACCTCCCTCTCTTCCTCCCCCACCTCTTCCCTCCCCCACCTCTCCTTCCCCCACCTCCCTCTTCTTCCCACCCCCTTCCCTTCCCCACCTCCTCCTTCCCCACCTCCTCTTCTCCCCACCTCTTCCTCCCCCACCTCCCTCTTCCTCCCCCACCCCTCTTCCCTCCCACCTCCTCTCCTTCCCCACCCTCCTCTTCCCTTCCCCACCTCCTCTTCCTCCCCCACCTCCCTCTCCTCCCCCCCCACCTCTTCCTTCCCCACCTCCTCCTCCTTCCCCACCCTCCTCTTCCCTCCCCCACCTCCTCTCTCTCCCCACCCTCCTCTCTTCCCTTCCCCACCCCTCCTCTTCTCTTTCCCACCTCCTCTCTTCCTTCCCCACCTCCCTCTTCCTCTTCCCACTCCTCTTCCTTCCCCCACCCTCCTCTCTCTTCCCACCTCCCTCTTCCTTCCTCTTCCCACCTCCCCTCTTCTCCACCTCCCCTCTTCTTCCTCCTCCCTCCCAAGTAATCGTCTTTGGTGTGGTGTGTGTCACTGTTCGTCTTGTTAGCTGTCACAACACTACCACCACATCTGTCTATGCGTATGGACGGTAAACTGTCTATCAGTTAGTTAGTCTGTCATTCAGGAAGTTCATTCATAGAGTTTGAATTACGCAGCTAAAACGTACGGTATATTTAAAAGAGTGTATTGTATCTGTAGGTAAGTTTGGGAGCCGTTTTGGTCAAGTTTTCAGTTGTTTGTCGATTTAGTGGAGTTATCCCTTGAATATCTCAGTTTTCTGTATTGGATTCTATGTTAGGTTTTCTCTGGTGAATGGCTGTGGTTTTTGTTTTGTGTTTGACGTCATTGGATTTATTTAGTTAGTTATGTCGTAATATACAAGTTTATGATTGTTCAGTAGGTATAGGAATAGTGGTGAGTAGTATAAGAGGATTTAGCTATGGAGAGTGGAGGAAAGCTCTCTCTCTCTCTCTCTCTCTCTCTCTCTCTGTCTCTCTGTGTGTGTTGAATTAACGTGTTATTTACCATTGCTTGTATACCAGCACTGTCTATGTATACGTACAATGTATACCTGTACTATTTATATACATGCTGAATTAGTATTTAATCTCGATAGGCTAATTACTGAACCAGGTGAAGAAAAGGTCTTAACAAGCGATGGTCCAAGTCTGTGTGTTTGTTTATCCGTTTGTTTTATTCCCAGGGAGAATTAAACACTCCCATGGCGGCTATAAATGTAAATGAATAAATAATGTGTTTTATTTCACCCATTGATCAAGGCATTACTCATAAAATTATAATAATAATAATAATCTTTCTTGTCACCAGTTTCACCTAGAGGGACAGGTGTAGACACTGATTGGATTGACGTCAGGTGAGGGTATTTGGTTAGGTTTGGTTTGGTTAGGTTTGGTTAGGTTAGCTTTAGGTTAGGTTTCGTTAGGTTTGGTTAGCGTTAAGTAAGGTTAGCGTTAGGTTAGGTTAAGGTTACGTTATGTTGTGGGTGGCCGGTAATAAAGTCACAGGAAAAAAGTCACAGAAAAAGTCACAATTTTGGCTAGGAAAAAAGTCACAGGAAAAAAAGTCACAATTAATTTATGGTGGCCGGTAATAAAGGTTAGGTTAGGTTAGGTTACCATCAGTTCTGCATATTCCTTTACTGAAACTGATTGACATATTAACCTTAAAAAATGTGAGAATTCGATAGTTAACTTTTCTTTTTTTCCTGTGACTTTTTTTCTGTGACTTTTTTACCTGTGACTTTTTTACCTGGATTCATGTTGTGTTATGTTACGTTATGTTGTGTTGTGTTATGTTTCTTGAGGTTAGCGTTTGGTTAGGTTAATCATTAAGTGAAATAAACCTGGAGTGAAGCTATTACAGGTGTTTCCTACTTAAATTACTCTAGGATCAACAGGTGAGAATTATTTACCTTAAAATATTTCTCATTTAGATAGACTGTGTGTAAGAGTTCTTGATTACTAAGACCCGGGGTTATTTACTGACTTGATTTTTGTTTGGTCTATAAATTTGAATTGTATATAGATACTGTTGAAGTGAGTCAGTGAGATCCTATGGTATTTATCAAGGCTACAGGAGTCTGGATGTGTGTGTACCTCAGTCCGACATGAGGTGAGGTGAGCTGGTTCCTCGGGAAACAGTAACTCAGGTGTCCCGTTCACTTTTACATCCCTGTATGTATTGCAGGCGGTTTAATCGTGAGGTAAAATAAGCTGTGGGTGTATAATCTTTAGGTAATCTCATTAATAAGTTTAAAATCAATCTGGTTTTCTAAGTATTATTAGAGTGCTAAAAAACTACATAACCTCAATGTTTAGTTAGAAGTAAGGGATTTGAAGCCTTGCACAGATGAGTTTAAACACTGGAGATATTTCACAGTTTATTGAGAAGTGGGTCTTGGTCTCCAACCCTCAGACAGGAGAAAACACATTAATTGATACGTGGAGAGTAAGATGAACGAGTATGCCCCGATATAACGAGCATGTCCCGATTTAACAAGTATGTCCACATTTAACGAGTATGTCCTGATTTAACAAGTATGTCTAGATTAAAGAAGGATTTTCGTGACATCTTCGGGAGCTGTGGCAGGTTGCTCTTGTTCTGTTGTGCTTCATTGGCCACCTGGTCAGCTAGAATATTGCTATGTTGCTGCATGTGGGCTTGAGTAGGTCTCTGCTGTGCTATGTTGCTGCATGTGGGCTTGAGTAGGTCTCTGCTGTGCTTGAGGGTGAAGTAGGACGCTTCTGTGTTGTGCTTGCCTTGAGGGGGGCGGGGGTATTAGTTAGGCCTCTGCTGTCCTAACTGTATCTGCTGGGCTTGCTGGGCGGCGGCCTGCTCGCGGTATCCCTTCAGCTGATCACCAGTGACCTCGATGACAAACTCCTCAGCGAAGGGGAGCAACACGGAATGCTTGGAGGTTCCTAACGGGTTTTTCTCGAAGTGGGGTGCTGGTTCCTCAATGATCTCAGGGTGGAAGCCATTTTTATCCGCTATGTACCTGTGTGTGTGGGGAAGATGTAGACGTGAAGTAGTATAATTATACCTGTGCTATCATACACAGAGGTGCTATTAAGGTCAAGATTATCATACACAGAGTCACATAAGGTCAGAATTATACAGAGGGTCACACAAGGTCAAAGGTCAAACTTACGTGACAGTGACGAGGACGCCATCGGGTCTGACGTAGGAGTATGACCCTTGCACGTTGCCCTGTTCGTCCCCTTGTCCCACCTGTGCAAACCTGACCCCTTCCACCTCGTCTGCGATGTTGAACTGGAATGTGTACGGGCGCTGTAGGGAGGAGAAGAGGGTGTGTTATTATTAGTCTCATAGCAGTTTTCGTATTGGAGTTCTGTCTTTCATATGTGTGTGTGTGTGTGTGCGTCCCCCCACACACATAGGTGACACTCACAGGAGGGAATGATTGTTCCAGGTTCGCTCCCACTTGTTGGCCGCCAAGTAGCTGGTCTATGCCCTGGGGAGCCGCCATCGCCACCGCCGCCATCACCGCCACCACCATAACCACTGCCTGTAACACACACGTCATTTGTTATTATTAATGTTGTTGTTGTAACGATTTCATAAATTAAAATGGCCGCCAAATCACCATTTTGAATAGGAACAAAAACCATTATTTAATTGATCAATAGCTCTTGGGGGTAACGACACAGACTAGTAACATGACGACACAAACTATTAAGCTAGCAGCATAAACTAGTAATCTGACAACACAAAATAGTTAATTGACAATAAGCTTACAACACAGACTAGTAAGCTGGCAACACAGACTAGTAAGCTGACATCACAAACTAGCAAGCTGACAACTCAGACTAATAAGCTGACAACACAGACCATATAGTGCTGTGGGAGGAACGTCATTACGACTCACCTTCATACTGTGGAGATTGGGAGTGTCGCCCTTAAAAGAGATGTTTGGTTGAAGATAGTGCTATGCGTCTGGCACAGGGGAGCAGGAGCAAGATAGGGCTTATGCTTTATGTTATGGGGAGCAAGATAGTGTTGTACTTAAGGGAGATTTTTTAAATAGGGGTGAAGATAGTGTTATGTTACAGGTGTTGTTAGTGCTGGTAGTCGCTCGCTCGCTCGCTTGCTTGCTTGCCTCTGACGGTGACACTGACACAACCATCTCATCCAACCCTTTATATACACCTCACTCTCTCTCCCTTTCCTCCTCACTCCCCCCTGTCTCTCTCCCCCTTCTCTCTGCCCCCCCTCCCCTCCTCCCCTAGGATGGCGTTACGGGGGTTACCAAGTCTTAGGGTCGCTGGACGAGTGATCAACCATTTGGATTTTGACCCTTGTGGCGGTCATTCTGAGGAGTTAGTTCAAGAAGGGTCTATGTCCATAATCTAACGATTAAGATCATAATATTAAAAACCTCTTTACTAATTAGGTCATTTAATTCACCTCCTTAACGATAATCACCACTAATTAATCACAGAATTTTACGATAATGACGTAAATAGATGAGAATTTACCTGAGAGTGAGGATAAGTAGGAACCTTAAGCCAAGTAAACAATGTGTTTTTGCTCGTAACAAGGCTAATAAAGTACTTGGGTTCATACAAAGGAGTGTTAGTTACAAGACTAGCGAGGTCATCCTAAAACTGTATCTTGCTCTTGTTAGACCACACCTGGATTACGCAGTTCAGTTCTGGTCACCGTATTACAGAATGGATATAGAATCCTTGGAAAGAATTCAGAGGAGAATGACAAGACTAATCCCGGGCATTAGGAACCTTGAGTATAGAGACAGGTTAAAGCATCTTAATTTGCACTCCCTTGAGAGACGTAGAGCGAGGGGCGACCTGATAGAGTGGGAAGGCAGGGCTAAACAAAGGGGACATTACAAAGGTACTCAAACTATCCAACCAGGAGCGAACTCGTAACAATGGTTTTAAATTAGACAAATTTAGATTTAGGCGTGAAATAGGTAAACACTGGTTTGGAAACAGAGTAGTGGATGAATGGAACAAGTTACCAAATATCATCATTAACTCGAATACGCTGAATTGCTTCAAACATAGGTTGGATGCTCATATGAGCAATAGGGGTTGGGTGTAAACGGGACTGCCCAGTATGGGCCAATAGGCCCGCTGCAGTTTCCTCCATTCTTATGTTCTTATTAGACCTTGAGGGCTTAGCAGCTGTGACCCTGATGGTGGTAAGGGGAAGTAGGGGGGAGATTAACTTAACCTAACCAAACCTAATCTAATCACCCGAACCTGGAGATTAATCAACCTAATCTGGAGTGGTTAATCTTCAGGTGATTCGTTTGTTTTCATCATCATCATCATCGTCATCGTCATCATCATCATCATCATCATCATCATCATCATTGTCATCGTCATCATCATCATCATCGTCATCGTCATCGTCATCATCGTCATCATTCTCATCATCATCATCATCATCATCATCATCATCATCATCATTATTATTTACTAGACAGTGAAGGAATGAGGGAATAAGCCTAGAGGAGTGATGGGGGGGAAGGAGAGAAAAGGGGGGTAGGGGGGAAGTGAAAGTAGAATATTGACAATAACAGAATCAGCTGAGCCTTAGGCCTGGGGGGGGGGGTTGACCAGACAACAACCTTTCCCTAACTGTGACCCAGGAAGTGAAAGGTTAACTGAGGTCAGGTCAAAAACACGACCTCGCGTAGGGGGGGGGGGTCAAAAACACGACCTGAATCCACGACCCCCGTTGAGAAATCTACAAGTTAATCCGAGGTGGATGGATATAACATAAGAACATAAGAATGGAGGAAACGGCAGCGGGCCTATTGGCCCATACTGGGCAGTCCCGTTTACACCCAACCCCGATTGCTCATATAAGCATCCAACCTATGTTTGAAGCTATTCAGCGTATTCGAGTTAATGATGATATTTGGTAACTTGTTCCATTCATCCACTACTACTACTACATACAGTAAGTCACTCAGTCGTACAATAAATGGACTCAGATCACGTGACATATACACTGACCCCGTATCAAAGTATTACATTGTGTGTGTGTGTGTGTGTGTGTGTGTGTATACCTAACCAATGTGTGTGTCTCTCCACAGGTGACCGGATCGTGGGCATAAACGGCCGGAGTGTGGAGAATTTACCCTACACCGCCGCCGTCGATCTCCTCCGTCAGATCTCCTGCCAGGTTACTCTCCTTGTCTCCCAGCCCGTCGCCCCCTCCACGGACACCACTCCCACCCCTACGCCCACCAAACTGTCACAGAACACGCCCACACAAGCTTCATCTACGCAAACCACGAAACACAGAATTACGCCCACGGAACACAGAACCCCGCCCACGGAACACCCTCCCACGAAACACAGACTCACGGAACACAGAACCCCACCCACGGAACACCCACCCACGAGAGACAGACTCACGGAACACAGAACCCCACCCACGGAGCACTCATTCACAAAACACAGACCCGCGCCCACGGAACCCACGCCAATAGATGATTCTTCCCTCACGCCCACGCTTCCTACCTACATGTACGCCACGCCCTCGCAACCCACTTCCACGTATGCCACGCCCTCGCAACCCACCTGCACGTACGCCACGCCCCTACAGCCCACCGAGGATGCCAATGACTCACCCACGGACGGAAGCCCATGCACGGAGAGAGGTAAGAAAATATTGGGGAATTTTATTTATTTTTATTTTTGGTTTTGATTTTTTGTTTTTGCTATTTTCAATCTTCTTCATCATCATCATCATCATCATCATCATCATCATCATCATTATTATCATTATTATTATTATCATCATCCTCACAGGTCAGGCGACGATACGAGCAGTGGGCGGGATGGTGACCTTTGCCCGGGAGGTCAGGTCAGGTCCTGTCACGGTCATCACCCTCAATGCTGGCACCCCACCACCAGGACTCCCCTTGATCTCTACCCCTATTAGAGGTCACACCGACGCCCCTCCTCCTCTTCCTGCTAGTGGTGACCTGACTGCCGTTCCAGCCTTAGGCATAACCCTTGGACCTTGTTTGCCTAATTCAGTCACTACTACTGCGACTACTACAGCTACTACTACTACTACTAATGGTGTTGATGCTACTACTACTACTACTTCTACTACAGCTTCTACGTCACGCACTAAAAAGGTTTTGTATATGTCGTTTAATGGTTGACCTAAATTTTAAGTAATAGGGTAGTTCTTGATTTTGGGTATTAATGTGAGGTTATGGGTTTAAGGTTTTAGGGATTTAGTTTTAGGATTAGGGTTTTTAGATATTTTATTGGAAGGTTTAAGTTTTTAAGGGTTTAATTTAAAGGTTTTTATGTTTTAAGTTTTTTTTTGTAAATAATAATGATATTTAGGGATGGTTGGATAGTTTAAAGTATCTGGAGTTTTAAGGGATTTTTTACGATTATTTTAAGGATTTTATTTAAAGATTAAGGCTTTTCGGATTTTTTTTATAGTTGGTTTATATTTTTAGGGGGATTTTTTTAAGATAAAGATTTTAGGGAATTTATTTTAGGATTTAAGATTTGAGTTATGTTGAAATATTAAACTTTTTAAGGATTCATCTTTAAATATGAAGATTTTTTGGGATTTCTCTATAAAGATTAAGACTTTTAGGTAAAGAATAAGGATTTTAGACACGTGAATAATAACTTTTTAAAAGAATTATCCTCTTAAATAGAATTTTAGGTATATATAAAGGTATTTTTTTAAATGAATTTTTCGGTACATTTAAGAATTTTTGGTATATTGAAAGATTAAGTATATTTCTAAAGATGAAATATTTTAAGTAATTTTAAGTACCTGTTTTGATGGGTGTTTAAAGTCTTAAGGATTTTAGGTATATTTAAAGATGATTGTCATTTAAAGTGAGAGAGAAATTATATTTATTGTATTTAATTTCTTTCACTTGCTTCATTGTTCAGGACGCGCGTGAGTATTATGGCGTTGTGGTGTTAATGGTGTGTTGTGGTGTTAATGGTGTGTTGTGGTGTTAATGGTGTGTTGTGGTATTAATGGTGTGTTGTGGTGTTAATGATGTGTGGTGGTGTTAATGGTGTGTGGTGGTGTTAATGGTGTGTTGTGGTGTTAATGGTGTGTGGTGGTGTTAATGGTGTGTGGTGGTGTTTAATGGTGTTTTGTGGTGTTAATGGTGTGTTGTGGTGTTAATGGTGTGTTGTGGTGTTTAATGGTGTTTGTGGTGTTGATGTGTTGTGGTGTTAATGGTGTGTGGTGGTGTTAATGGTGTGTTGTGGTGTTAATGGTGTGTGTGGTGTTAATGGTGTGTGGTGGTGTTAATGGTGTGTTGTGGTGTTAATGGTGTGTGGTGGTGTTAATGGTGTGTGGTGGTGTTTAATGGTGTTTTGTGGTGTTAATGGTGTGTTGTGGTGTTAATGGTGTGTTGTGGTGTTTAATGGTGTTTTGTGGTGTTAATGATGTGTTGTGGTGTTAATGGTGTGTGGTGGTGTTAATGGTGTGTTGTGGTGTTAATGGTGTGTGGTGGTGTTAATGGTGTGTGGTGGTGTTAATGGTGTGTTGTGGTGTTAATGGTGTGTGGTGTTAATGGTGTGGTGGTGTTAATGGTGTGGTGGTGTTAATGGTGTGTTGTGGTGTTAATGGTGTTGTTGTGGTGTGTTGTGGGTGTTAATGGTGTGTGGTGGTGTTAATGGTGTGTTGTGGTGTTTATGGTGTGTGGTGGTGTTAATGGTGTGTGGGTTAATGGTGTGTTGTGGTGTTAATGGTGTGTTAATGGTGTGTGGTGGTGTTAATGGTGTGTGGTGGTGTTAATGGTGTGTTGTGGTGTTAATGGTGTGTTGTGGTGGTGTTAATGGTGTGTGGTGATGTTAATGGTGTGTGGTGGTGTTAATGGTGTGTTGTGGTGTTAATGGTGTGTTGTGGTGTTAATGGTGTGTGGTGTTGTTAATGGTGTGTGGTGGTATTAATGGTGTGTGGTGGTATTAATGGTGTGTGGTGTTGTTAATGGTGTGTTGGTGTAGGTGGTATTGGTGCTTTAGGCGGTGGTGGTGGTGGTGTTAGACAGAGAGGCCAGTTAGACAGGGACCCAGTTAGACAGAGAGGCCAGTTAGACAGGAATCTAGTTAGACAGAGACATAGTGTTTGTGTCGTGTGGGGGCGTTTGTGCACTTAAAGTTGTTTTATGTGTGTGTTTTATATTGTTTGTTCGTGTGCACTTTATTATTAATAGTATTAGTAGTATTAGTGTGCCTTATATGTGAAGCTCATTGTATTACCACAAGTAAAAGTATCCATTCCTTACAATAGTTTATAATAGACAGTAGATATATCAGTAAAGTAGACAGATGGTGAGTAGATAAAAGTAGATGACGTTGGTGAGCGATTTTTTTTTTCGGTTTCTGAAGACGGCAAAGAGCTCTTGTTATTTACCCCTCACCCTCCTCCTCCCACCTCTCTCTAGGCTTTGTTGTCGTCTTCGTACACGTAAGGGGTCTTATCAGCGGCTCTCAGAGTTGTCAAGATGCTGTTTTGGTGGAACGTGTATGGAATAATAAATAATAATAATAATTAACGGTTTATTGAAAAAGCTCTGCAGCTCGATGGCTGAAAATATACATTGGACATAAATGACTTAATACATACATTGACATTGGTGGTTTAACACACACACACACACACATACACGCGGTGTGTGTGTGTGTGTGTGTGTGTAGAGGGGAGGGGGACTAAGATTCATGTTAATTTTGAACCCTGAACTTGAATATGTACAAAAAATACACACTATAAATGACTTCCTTACACACACACACACACACACACACACACACACACACACACACACACTTACGCCGTGTTCGTGTGTATAAGACTTGGCCTGGTGACAGCAAAGGGTAGACTGTCTCCTCGTAGGTAAAGAAAAAGCTTGGACAACCATATTAGGGTGAGGCTTATAGAGGCATTTATTAATTTATACAACACCTTTTGTATATATTCTTCTCCAGCCGCTGTTATTTTTTTATAATTCTGAATGGGTTTATATTGTCTGAGCTTTTATTTGTAGTTTTAAAGGCAGTTTTTACAGTCTGACCTGAACAAGAGAGGGTAGCTGCTTCGAAGAGTTAGGCTTCATTGCCAAGCACATTTTGTTGTTTTTTTTTGTGTTGACCTTGCGTAATGCCGCCCTCACTCCTCACCCCAACAGAACTAGCAAGTTGTCGACCAGTGCCGGTGCCTCGGCGGAGTGTGGCCTCGACCAGCTCCTCTACAGGGGATTCAGTGTCTCGGGAGAAGAGCGGCACCGTCCACCGTAGCCGCTCCTTCTACTACGCCGAGCTGATCCGGAACGATAGTTTTGACAACTTCTGCTCCTCCTCCAAGAACTCACTCGAGTCTTTGCATCCTAAAACAACAGCGGCGCCCGAAAACTCTTCCTTTCCTTCCTATGACTCTTGTACCACCGATAGTAATTCCGATTTTATTATGGGAGATGACAATAAAGCTTCGAGACATTCCAAAACAGAGTTTGGTGTCGACCTTTGTGGTGGTGAGGAGGCAGGGTCGCGTTCCAGTAGTGTTGTGCTTGGTGACGGTGAGGCGGACCAGCCTCTTGGTGCTTTTACTAATAGTTTGAATGAACTCACTAACTTGGATTGCTTGGTGTTGGGTGCCGCCGATGACCACAACTCCAGATCTTCGAAGTCCTCCTCGATGGTGCCGTGGCAGGGATCAACAGAGTCCCCGTTGGAGGAGGAGGAGACGCACCATCGGTTGCAAACTCTTACCAACCTGGTGCCTGAAGATACTATGCTGGACCGTGTCTTGCGCTGCTTTGAGGCCATGCACGTGTTGCAATCACGTGACACCTTGTTGTCCAGCTGGCAGAAGTGTCAGGGCGAGGAGGAAATTGCTGAGAAGCAAGAGGTTGAACAGCTGACTCAACAGTACTGGCAGCGTCACCCAGGCGTCGACAACTGGCATCCTGACCTCTTCTTCCACGACTTTTCACTGGAGGAAGAACAGTTCCCAGAGTCTGAGGTAGGAAGTGTCAGTTCTGCAGCTGATCACCAACGTCTGTGTCACAATTTGTCTCTGTCGTCAGTAAACAGCCCCACTGAGTCCATGTTACCTGGTTATTCTCAGTCCACGACCCCCGTGGACCTACAACTGGCGAGTTGTATTGACCTGCCCACCTCCTCCCCGTCACCAGTGCCCGAGAACGTGGTCATCACGCCCCCTGAAGAGTTCCGTGAGGAGCATGAAGCTCGGTGTATCCCTGAGAATACAAGAGCTTCCCCAGACCAGCAGGGCATCAAGGGGGCTTTTCGCCTCATGACGGAATGTGAGTACCGGCGGAGTATGCAGGGCGACACTACACAACAGACGGTGGATCTGAGTAAGGCGATATACACTGGGTTTGGCCACACTAGGGGTGTAGCGGCCCTCACCACTACTTCACCTGAATGTTCCCTCACTAACCTAGAACATCCCTCACGTGCTCTCTACCTCAGAGGCCTCCTGGCCACCAATGCTACCGAACTCTCGCACCAGACAACAAACACTTGCCAGCAATCAACCAGTTCTCTACACCACATGACTGCTGCATCATTCTCCTCAGCAGCTAACCTCTCTCACCAATCAACTAACCCATCATACCCTTCGTCCAGTCTTTCACACGAGGTCACCAGCCTACCCCACCAATCAACTGACCAATCAAAAGAGAGAGAAACTGACGTGGGTTCACCTAAGAATGAAGATTCGAGAATTGTCGCTCCAGACAAAGAGTTGCCAATGAAACTCAGCAACTCCAAGATTTCTGAAGTATCGGTGTGCGGGTCAATAATTACTAACGTCATCAAGACTAATGCCAATAAATGTATCATTGAGATCTTAGACAACAATGTACAGCTCGGAGGCCAAACAACAGACGCTCTCAGGCGGAAAACAGAAAATTCCGTCCACACGTCGTCCTCACACACAGGAAAAAGTGAGAGTAACGTGATAGACACACAAACAGGAACATCAGCTTCTGGGGTAAAGAAAACCATGACCTCCAACAATAGTTCAACAGAAGAGGAAGTTCTCACCTCCACCGAGAGTGATCACAACAGCTGCAGCACCGGCTCACCGCCCCCTGTTAACTTCACCACACATCCTCTATCACCTGAAAACATCATTACCACAGAGAGTAGTGGAGCTGTGGCTGATGTTGAAATATGTGAAAAGAAACCAAGTCTTATAACCGGTAAAGATGAAGTACGTGAAGCCATAGTGAATGTTAAAGAATGTGAGAGGAAACCCAAGGTACATTTCGCCCCTAGCCTCTACAGCAGTTCCCCCTATAGTTGTAAGCCTTCCTCTCTCCCTACCCAAAGTGAGAACCGTTTTCCTTTACACAAAATGTACCCAGACTCTGATAGTGACAGCGACGACGACACATCATTTATCCAGGCTGATGAAAAGACTCCCGGATTATCACTCGAGTCTAATAAAAGCGAAGAAGTCGAACTATTCCTAAATAATCCAGAACCGATGGTCATAAGTCGAGTGAGTAGTGAATATTTTAGTAAAACAGCTGACTTAAGTATGGAGGCATCAGGTACCGGGAGTTGTATTAGTCAGGGTGAAAGAGATCTTACATTGTGTGGGCTGGTTGTTGAAGCCTCATCTCCAGGGGCTTCATCTCTTAGCTCTCCTGTGACGGATGGTTGGGGCGTGGGTGCTGGGCCTTCGGTGTGTGAGGAACTCTTGAGCCTCGAGAGTGAGCAGTTTGTGGAGCTGTTGGCGACGCTTGTGAATGATGATTATCCTAAGACGACGACCACCACCACCTCTACACACTCCCACGACCTGGTCACTACCACCACGACCAACCAGTCTACCGGCGCTAGCATGAAGAACGACCCAACGACCATCCACACCAAAGACGACTTGAGAAATTTAATTCTCAAGGATAACCCCGTCCACAGGCCATCCAAGGACAGTTCTTCAGTTGCTGGTGGTGATGAAGAGGTGTCTGTCGCCGCGGATTGTAAGGACGCGTTTGTGTCTATTCACTTCGAGGAGGAGTCTGGCACCACCTATTCCGAGGATGAGTGTGTCACCAGCCACTCCAAAGGTGACTCTACCACTACTCACTCCAAGGATGACTACTCCACCCACTCCAAGGATGACTCTACCACTACCCACTCCAAGGATGACTCTACCACTACCCACTCCAAGGATGACTACTCCACCCACTCCAAGGATGACTACTCCACCCACTCCAAGGATGACTCTACCACTACCCACTCCAAGGATGACTCTACCACTACCCACTCCAAGGATGACTCTACCACTACTCACTCCAAGGATGACTACTCCTCCACCCAATCCAAGGATGACTATACCACTACCCACTCCAAGGATGACTACTCCACCACTCCAGGATGACTCTACCAGCAACCAGGATGGATGACTCTACCCTACCCGGATGACTCTACCACTACCCCTCCAAGGATGACTCTACCACTACTCCAGGATGACCTCCTCCACCCAATCCAAGGATGACTATACCACTACCCACTCCAAGGATGACTATACCACTACTCACTCCAAGGATGACTACTCCACCCAATCCAAGGATGACTATACCACTACCCACTCCAAGGATGACTATACCACTACTCACTCCAAGGATGACTACTCCACCCAATCCAAGGATGACTCTACCGCTACCCACTCCAAGGATGACTCTACCACTACCCACTCCAAGGATGACTATACCACTACTCACTCCAAGGATGACTACTCCACCCAATCCAAGGATGACTCTACCACTACTCATTCCAAGGAAGAGTCGTATCTAAGCTCTTACCTCAAGGCCGACCTCGTGAAAACTGACTCCAAGGACAAGGACTCTGGAAACACGACTCAGGATGACGACTCCTTGAACGACCACTGCAGGGACGACTCATCTCCCACCAAGGACGAATGTGTCACTAGGTTCTTCAGGGACGGTTTCGTAACTATTGACCTCGGCCATGGGTCTGCCAACACCCTCATCAAGGACGACACTGCCACCACTGTAAACAAGAAGAACTCTGCCACCACTGTAAACAATAAGAACTCTGCCACCACCGTAAACAAGAGGACCTCTGCCACCACCGCATGTAAGACTATTTCTGCCACCACCCTCTTCAAGAACCTATCAGCCACCAACGTCTTCAAGGACGACACTGCCAACATCATCTGTAAGAGCGTCTCTACCACCACCGCAGACAACAAAACCCCTGCCACCATCCAGCGAAGAGGTGTGGTGGTGTCAGCCAGCCAACAGGACAACAACTCGTCCGGTGAGACTGAGAGGTGTTCACTGTGAAACTAACCTGACCTTTTTGAGTCTTGCTGTAACAGTCATTGAATTTAACCTGTTGGTCGAGTAATGTTAATAATATTATCTTAAAGTCACACACCTGATGATGATTAAGCATCCTAACCTAACCCTCCAGGTAGCTTTATAACATTTAATTATGTGAAATAATCTGGGATGCCTAATCTTCATGTGATCCCATATTTATTTTCATTTATAATACTGATAAAAAAAACGTAATTCTATGTTTCTTCAGCCAATGAACATATCCAGTGTCTGTGTATATACGTTTCCGTGTGTTTAAAAGTCCCTTCCCAGAGCTATATTGTCTTACCCTGGGCAGTTCAGTTAACACCTTCAGCGCCTATCTGTGCTTCGCTAGACCTGGTAACTTGAGTATGTGTTTTGTTATGTGAAAGTCTTGTGTGTTTGCCAGTAGATGTGTCGGTAGGTTATCACACACACACACACACATACGGGTTTAACTTATACAGCTCTAGATGAAAATAGATCACATGGCCTTAGTAGTGAAACATCTAAAATAAAATATACAAAAAACTAAATAATAACGATAATAATTTGTTTAAGTTGATGTATCGTTTATTTAGTTACAACGATGATGATTTTTCCCACCAAATTGATCCTCGAGTTAGATACGTTGCAAAACAAATTTTTAGGGGTAATTTTAACTAATTTCGGCAACAAGGGAAATACTCCATAACTAGTGAACCTTCATTATGTTTGGGAATTAGCTAGGAATGGCTGTAATTGACGTATTAATTTAACATGGAAGAGCGACACCATCCGATAGTAAAAATAACCCAGTCACCAGCTCAGACTCCGGTAAAGCGGATTGTGATAATGGAAGGTTAAACTTTTACCACTATAGCCAGGTGTGCTCCAGGTGATTGTCGTAATTATCAAACAACAAAAATAAACTGGATAATTTCCCTGGCAGTATTCTCTTTGACGGGATTGTTTTTGCTCTCTGTATTATCAAGACTGAGCACTCGAGGCCTTTGATGGTGATGATGAAGGAGTAGTAGTGCGGCTGACGACCACCAGATGGCTCTCTCTTACCCGTGTTTAAGCTGGTGTATATAATGGCGGACGGAGACCTCCCACCTCGCTTTTCACTGTCTCTCACCCATTACACACACACACATATGTTGCGTCGCCAGGGATGTAATTACCACAATCAATTAATCAATCAATCACATACACACACACATCTGCTCCTCAAGAATGGCAGGCTCGTCACAGGGGTCATGGGGAGGGGGGGTAAAAATCACTAGTTCACTGACACCATAATGCCACTAGCGTCTACCTGGACCTGACAACAACAGACACCATCTCACGTTAAAACAATTAAGTGTTTCTGCCCACTGAGTCCATCACTGGGGACGACAGTTGGACGGCCAGAGTATATAGTGTTCTGATGTGAGTTGACGTCTGTTAATGTGAGTTTCCTCTCCTAACTTCATGTTTATGTTACTGTGTCTCTCTCTAAGCAGTATTTGGGTCTATTGTTTGAGTTTCCTGGTAGTATTATAAGTATCTTGCAATTATGTAGTTTAGTAGTTTATTATTATTTTTATTTTATTTCAAAGATAAATCTAAACTTTATATCATTTTTAACTTTGTATTTTAAGTTTGATGATTTTTTTTGTTATTTGTAAATCTTATCAGTATTCCTGACTCCTTATCTATCAATGGAGCGGATCCCTTAGCCCCGCCCACCGAGTCAACAGCTTGACATCTACACAACTCTACGCCCCTCCCACTCTGGTTTACTCAAAGACTCGCTCTGAAAGGTTGATGTAGTCACTAACGTCTTCCCTTTAAAACACCAACATTGTCTTGTGTCGCTCTCTTAAGTGTTGGTATAAAATGTAATAATAATTCCACTTAAGACGAGTTTTATTTGTTTACATCATTGTCTGAGTGGGCGTGATGATGGTGGAGTGGGCGTGGCGATAGAGGAGTGGGCGTGGCAATGGTGGAGTGGGCGTGGTGATAGAGGAGTGGGCGTGGCAATGGTGGAGTGGGCGTGGTGATAGAGGAGTGGGCGTGACGATAGAGGAGTGGGCGTGGCGATGACGGAGTGGCCGTGGCGATGATGGAGTGGGTGTGACGACGGAGTGGGCGTGGCGATGACGGAGTGGGCGTGGCGATAGCGGAGTGGGCGTGGCGATAGCGGAGTGGGCGGGGTGAAGGGATCCCTCTGTTGACCTCAGAACAACCCCACTAGGGCGTACAGTAGACAGCTCTCAAAGATGCACTGTTCTAACTCTCCCTGATCTAGATTCTAGTGGAGGTGTGGTGGAGATGGTGACGTCAGCGAGTCGCGGCAGGGTGGTGTGTGTGACCGTCGGGGTGTGGGAGGTGTAGTGGAGGGGCGGAGTGTACCCAGGGGGGGGGTCTCTCTCTCTCTCTCTCTCTCTCTCTCTCTCTCTCTCTCTCTCTCTCTCTCTCTCTCTCTCTCTCTCCCCCCTTCTGGGCACTACCACCACCGCCACCACTGCACTTAGAGATGAGCATCAGGTACAACATTGTCTCATTGTTGCCGTCTATACCCCCTTCCTCCCCCTCACCCCTCTCACCTCATCCCTCACACCTCCCTCACCTCTCACCTCATCTTTCCCCTTCTCCCTCACACCTCACCCCTCACTTCACCCTTCCCCTACCCTGCGACATCTCATAACTTGGCCTCGCTACAGTAGTATACAAGAGCCCAAGAGAGATAGCCGGCTGTAGTGTGTAAAGCTGTATCTAGAATTTGTTGGTCTGGATCCGTATAATGCCAAGAGGAACACCCAAGTTTGTTAATGTTCTCTGTAAAGATATTGTTAGGTTCTGTAGCCACGATTGACCCTGGCATTAAGCTATTGTATTTTTTGTTTCCTGTTGTATTTGAAATAGATCCAAGTAGATTTATGTTGTGGTTATTGTAGTGGGGGATATAGATACAGATAGCTTTTAAATTGGTTACAGAATATTTTACTGTAATACAACCAAAGTAGACGTAATTGGTTCTATTTCAGCCTGGCTCTGTCGTATTGTATTATACGTGGTAGAGCTAAGAGGGTTTTTTTTTTACTCTATCTGGGGAAACTCTAATGCCTTTTCAAATGGTGTTGTAGTGTGATGGTGTTGTTGTAGTGTGATGGTGTTGTTGTAGTGTGGGGATTGGTTGCAGCGGCACATGGCGTCTCAAATGCCAATACAAGTTTAGGAGTTTGAAGATGTGTGCCGTATCGCTACCTGTGTCACCTGAGGGCTAATTAACTTGGCTGTCTCTCTCCTTCAAGGTGGCAGACAGTTCACCTGTTATGGGGGGGAGGGAGGGGTGAGAATGTGTTGGTTTTGGGGGAAGAGGTGAGGGGAGTATGTGTGTGTGGTGATGGGTGAGGGGAAGAGGTGAGGGAGTATGTTTGTGGTGAGGGGAAGGAGAGTATGTTTGTGGTGATGGGTGAGGGGAGGTGTATGTTTGTGGTGATGGGTGAGGGGGAAGAGGTGAGGGGAGTATGTGTGTGGTGATGGGTGAGGGGGAAGAGGTGAGGGGAGTATGTGTGTGGTGATGGGTGAGGGGGAAGAGGTGAGGGGAGTATGTTTGTGGTGATGGGTGAAGGGGAAGAGGTGAGGGGAGTATGTTTGTGGTGATGGGTGAGGGGAGTATGTTAGGTGGTATGTGGGTCACCTAATTGATTGTCTTTCACCACCTGTGTTCACCTGTGTGGCTCATCTTCCACCCATTTATGTCTTGATCATCCACCAGCCACATCCACCTTCGTCTGCGTCACTCACCACCCATTTGTTGACCCTATCCACATTCCTCTCTCACTAGCCAGTTCAGTAGGTCGAGTCTTACCCATCTACTCCAGCTGGCTCACCTATATCTAACCATCTGGCTCACTGCGAGGACCACCATGTACCCAGCTGGTCGGCCACCACCCACACCACCCAGCTTACCCACCCACCCACCCACCCACCATCGTTAAGCAACTGCCACCCAGATGGTCACACCAACCCATAAACAGTATATTCCGGCCATACTAGAGGTCGTCCCCAGCTGTAAACACCAGTCCGTCTCAGACCAGCTGTGTGTACGACCCCACCACCCACCACTACGACCCCACCACCCACCACTACGACCCCACCACCCACCACTACGACAACCTCTTATGTCACTATTCTCAGTTCATCTTTACTACAACTTCAAACCTAAAAAAAAAATATAATTTTTTTTATGAATATATTTATTGTCTTTTACGAATAGAAATAAATATGTTTTAGTTAGTCCTATGATTTGTTTTATTGTTTGTCGTTTTCTATGGTGTTTGGTGTTTTTTTTTAGGTAGGAATTTTATATAATGGTTTAATACTGATAGTAAGGGATGAGGGCATGAGGTGTGTGAGGTATGAGAGATGAGGGATGAACCAACCACGCTTCAGTGCATCGCCTTCCTAACCAATCACGGCTTAGAACGTCACTATCTCACGAGCCAACCACATCAGTGCACCTCTCTGTCAACCTATTACAGTTTAGAACGTCATTATCTAACTAACCAATCACGCTTCAGTGCTTCTTCCTCTCAGCCAATCACAGCCGAATGTATTTTAAGCGGGAAAAGGAGGCTGTGTTTTTCCTCAGTTCTTTATTAAATTTATTTCCCCTCGACGTCGTTGTCAGTCTGCCAGAGATTTTTTTAAAGTTTTTTTTTTTTTAAGAATTTGAATAAGCAACTGCGTGATGGTGATTATTCATAGCAACTGTGATGATATGAGAGAGAGAGAGAGAGAGAGAGAGAGAGAGAGAGAGAGAGAGAGAGAGAGTGTGTGTGTGTGTGCAGTATTTACAAACTCTAATACAGGTTAAGCTAGGTTGCGAAACTTGTGCTGTAAATGACTTGTTAAGAATAATGAGGAAAATACATTATTATTATTATTATTATTATTATTATTATTATTATTATTATTATTATTATTATTAATTATTTATTTATATTATTATTATTAATAATTATTTATTTATATTATTATTATTATTATTATTAATTATTTATTTATATTATTATTATTATTATTATTGTTGTTGTTGTTGTTGTTGTTGTTATTATAATGAATGTATCGGTGTCGTTCACAGTGTGGAGGTCTGGGATGTACGCGGGCGCCAGCAGTTCATCCTCGTCATCATCATCGTCAGCCGCCTCCTCTCCGTCAGCTTTAGCGGCTGACACCCTGTGGTCCAGCGGCGGCCAAGAACTGGAGATATTCCATCCCTGTGGCAACACTGGCCGAAGTGTTGCGTGTTCCAGGACTGGCAACATTGATCCAAGCACACAGAGAACGGGTGTTGCAAGGGCCTGGGCTGGCTACACAGGGGTTAAAGGTGTTGCAGAAGAGAGTTATTTGGCGGTGTGTGAGCTAGGAGGTGATGAAGGTGGTGGTTCAGGCGGCGTTAATAAAGTCCACCAGCACCGTCATCCATTTTCAGTTGCTAATTCTTGGCGGCCACTGCGAGGGAGTATTACGGATGATGGTGGTGATAGTGAGGGAGATGATGGTGATGGTGGTGGGTCTAGGAACAATGATCCTTCTCGTAAGTATCGTGTGCTTGAGTCCTCCTCAGGTAGAGACAATCCGAATGGTGGACACATCCTGGAGGAGGTCGAGGGAGAGCGATGCCGTAACGTCTTGGGAACCTTCAACTTCCGTGAGCGTGAAGGGTCGCGTGGCTCTGTGGCCCTCAGCACTAGACCTCTGCTTGGTGAGGCTGGAGACGAGGACAACAGTGTGGGGGAGAAAACAGTGTTAGGACCCTTCAATTTCCAGCAGCATGAGAAGCCGTCCACTAACCTGGCGGTGAGGACTCAAGACCCTGCCAGCCCCTGTAACTCTCCTGGAAGCTGCCATGGAGGAGCCTCAGTGCTCGCCACCTTCAACTTCCAGCAGCGTCAGAACACCACCAACCTGGCAGTCAAGAGCGGCAGACACGACCTCCCGGACAGCCTAAGAGCGTCTCCTGTAGGTGGACATAGTGGAACCACTGTCCTGGGAACATTCAACTTCGTGGGTCGTAACGACAGTCTTCAGGCGGCGGTCTTGAAGAAACAGATGCCTCCTGAAGACGAGTTACCTTCACTGTCAGATTCCATCACCAGCCTGGAGGACGGTAAGCACCTGGTGGGCGTGTATAACTTCACCCAACCTCGCCCGACACAACACAACGCCGCCACCAGCCAGTCTCTTGTTGCTGGGAGTCAGTCGCAAATGGAGGGACACAGGCCACAGGGAAGAGGAAGTTATGTACACAGTGATGGGACGAGGAGAGACACACCCACGAGTAGGAGAGAGAGTGACTCATGTGACGCTCAGACTAATGTTACTAAGAGTGCTTCAGCGAGTAGTGTGGACGAGTGGTCACCCTCACCCAGCGTGTCTTGTGACGGTGATCATAATAATTACTCATATCAACCTCAACAACTCGTCCAAGTGACCGACAGTACCGGTGAACTTGTGTACAGTAGTGATCGTTTTCAGTCCATTGAGATAGTGTGTTCAAAGACTCATATGGACAGTGACTCTATGACTCTTGAAGATTCTAGTCAGTGCCCGTCAGGACCCGAATCACGTGAGTCTACAGGCGAGGACCTCCTGGATGACCCCCGCCTTCAGGAGGACCCCGACACACAACAACACACAGGTGAGAAAATCAGTTTTTATTTTCTTTGTCTGTTTGTCTACCATTATTATATTTTATCTCTAACTTCTTGTGTGGGAAGGATAAAGAGAGAGAAAAATACTCAATAGAGGGAGAAAATAACAGGAGGAAGCGACACACACACACACACACACACACACACACACACACACACACACACACACACACACACACTGGGCTTTTAATTAATCCAACGAAACAAATGAAAAAAAACACGAGATAATACAATAAAAACAAACACAGGTGAGAGTTTAATTTCATTTAGGCAATAATTCAGACTAAGTTTCACAGGTGAATTAATGAATAAAAATTCGACACACAAACTCCCGAGTCAGATTTAATTAGACGCAAACTTGGTGAAGGTGAGAGAGTATTATTGAACTTTTACCTGTGGGTCTATAAGTTTGGTACTGGCGATGTTTAAGGGGCTGACCTATGGTACTGGCGATGTTTAAGGGGCTGATCTATGGTATTGGCGATAAATAAGGGGTTTATCTATGGTACTGGCGATAAGTAAGGGGTCAATCTATGGTATTGGCTATAAATAAGGGGTTGAGCTATGGTACTGGCGATGTATAAGGGGCTGACCCATAGACGAGGAGGTGCCGTGGGAGCTGTCTCGGCCGGAAGATGGATGACTTCATTAATAATAGGAATGTTGTGTATGGTGATGAGGCGAGATGGTGCTCTCTCTCTCTCTCTCTCTCTCTCTCTCTCTCTCTCTCTCTCTCTCTCTCTCTCTCTCTCTCTTTTCTCACTTTCTCTTCCAAGCCTATCTTGTTTCACCACCACCATCACCATCACAGTTCCTTCATTTATCATTATCGGAAAAGCGTCACTGCCCTGGCGAAGTTATCCTGTAGTTATTTATTACACACACACACACACACACACACACACACACACACACATGAGTCTCTTGTGTAATTGGTCTTACGTACATACAGGTGTACCTCACTTCACCTCAACTCACCTGAATAATATAACTCAAGTCTAAGATCCTCAAAATGAATTCCTACGTCCTATTTTTCTTTCATTTTTTTTTCATTTAAATTGGTTACGGGGGAATGAATTTTGTCTTAAGTTACGACCCAAGGATGGATTCTCAAAGGCACGTAAGTTATATTATTCCTCTTAGCTGGGATGTGAGAACGTATTTAACTGACTCACTTAACCTATGACACAAGGATAGATTCTCAAAGGCCCCTACGTAATTTTCTTCTCTTAACTGAGTATATAAGAGGAGGTATCTGGTTACTATAGCTTTACAGTTCACTACAGAGGATCGAGGAGGTAGTGTTCAAAGGTTATGGTGTAGGTAGGGAATGCCAGGCGCTGCTGAGTGCTTGTGCTGGCTCTGGTGGTGGTGGTGGTTTAAAGGTGCCGGTGCAGGTGTTGTGTTAATCACGAAGGTATTGTTGTTGACAGGTGATTTAGCCCAGTGAAGTAATAATAATAATAATAATAATAATGACAATGATAATAATGATGATGATACTACCTCTACTACTACAACTTTTTTTTTTTAACGTGGCCTCCAGCCTCCCTCAATAGCCACACCTTCGCCGCCATTTTATTACCTTAATATTAAGTCTCCTAATACATAAGTAGCTATCCTAGCTGTGTTGAATTAGTTGAGCCGCAGATTTATGCGGCATTCAGTGACTGTTGCCTCATAGTCAATATCTGCAGCTGTTGTCGGCTTTGGGGCCGAAGCTCTCGTTCCCCTGAGGCAGAGCAAAGCCGACCGAAGGAGAGAGAAGGACAGTCGACATCTCATCCAGGCTGTAACATAACTTCTGGGCTGCTGCTTCTGTTCGGAGATCACCTCCGCGAGTCTGGCGTAGAAGCATCTTGCACTTGGTCAGATCCCACCAGAGGTTGCGAACACTAGAGGAGTGAAGCTGCCTTGATCAACGTTCTGAATTCTCTCCCCATATGCCCTTCTCTTGTCGTTCTCGGTCCTCCTGTGTGCAGCATCGAGAGCTAGGTTACGGTGACATGCGGCCATGGGATCAAAAATCCTAATGTCGAAGAAGGCTCGCTGTCCCCGCGTCCAGAATCCTCGAGCACTGACGTCAACACGGGCTTCGTTGGATGTGTATGAAGTCCTATGTTGGAAGATCTTACCGTCCAATGGAAGGAGGGTCGGTTCTACTACTACTACTACATCCAAACAATCTAGAACCATTCATCATCACTTGACAACACACCCTCCCGGTACGGTTGGCAGCCCTGGCGTATTTGGCGGCAAAAACGTAATGTCAACACACACACACACACACACCTCGCATGATGATGGTATGTGCTATAATATGTAACTTGTATATGAATTTAAAGATCAATTTTGGTCGTTTAGTGTTCAAGGTTCCTATGATTTTTAAACTTACTAACTCGACCTGGGGGAGTTAGGTTAGGTTAGATTTGGTTTGGTCAGGGGGGTGTTTAAGTAATCATCCAATGGATTTAAACTCACAAGTACTCAACCAAAAACTCAAACTACTCTATACACTCACACACGCCAAAGTATAAGTAAGTATTTTGAACATAAGGTGAAGACTACTCCGCCAACATGCAAAATTACTGCGCCAAGTTTTCGCTCGAGGCTAAATAAGTTATTCAAGTCTCCCGCCAAAGTTTTTAATCAGACGAATACTTTTGCTGCATATGATTAACATTTTTAATTCCTGGTAAATCTTGCTTGTTGATACAGTGTTGGTGGTGGGGGGGTAAGGGGTGGAGGGAGGTAAAGGGGTGGGGGGAGAGGGAGGGGAAGGAGATAAAGGTGGGATGGAGGTAAAAGGAGAGGAGGTAAGGTGGGATAGGGGGTAAGGTGGGGTGGGAGGTAAAGATGGGGAGGGAGATAAAGGTGGGGGGAGGTAGGTAAGGGGGAATGAGGTAAAGGGAGGAGGAGGTAAAGGGGGAGACGGAAGTATAGGACATTCCTATCTCAACCTAACCTAACCAATACACTCACCAGACTCACCACAGTGTAAAGCTAGACGTGTGTGTGTGTGTGTGTGTGTGTGTGTGTGTGTTTAATTTGGTCGAGATTAAAACTGCAGAAGGAAGTTTAGGTTTAGGGAGGAAGAGAGAGGCTGCGGGGAACTAACCAGATTGGACTGAGGTCACGAGAAACTGAAGAAAATAGTGAATATATTTTTTTAGGGGGAGGGAGGATCACCTGAAGATTAGACACCCTAGTTTATTTTACCTGATGACTGAACACCCTAAAGTTAACCTAACCTAACCTAACCTAATTCAACTTGTACCAAATGTGTCATACCTTCACCATCTGTGTCACTCCTGCACCATCTGTGTCACTCCTGCACCATCTGTGTCACACCTGCACCATCTGTGTCACACCTGCATCATCTGTGTCACACCTGCATCATCTGTGTCACACCTGCATCATCTGTGTCACACTTGCACCATCTGTGTCACACCTGCACCATCTGTGTCACACCTGCATCATCTGTGTCACCTTGCACCAGATGTGTCACACCTGCACCCAGATGTGTCACACCCTGCACCAGATGTGTCACACCTGCCATCTGTGTCACACCTGCATCATCTGTGTCACACCTGCATCATCTGTGTCACACTTGCACCAGATGTGTCACCTGCACCAGATGTCACACCTGCACCAGATGTGTCACACCTGCACCATCTGTGTCACACCTGCATCATCTGTGTCACACCTGCATCATCTGTGTCACACTTGCACCAGATGTCACACCTGCATCATCTGTGTCACACTTGCACCAGATGTGTCACACCTGCACCATCTGTGTCACACCTGCATCATCTGTGTCACACCTGCATCATCTGTGTCACACTTGCACCAGATGTGTCACACCTGCACCATCTGTGTCACACCTGCACCATCTGTGTCACACCTGCACCAGATGTGTCGCAACTCACAGATACATTAACAATAATTTCACACGTACCCGGAACACTAGAGCGAGTTCGGGTGAGATAGAGTAGAAGAGGGGGTGAAATGGGGTAGAAGGGAGGGAGGTGAGGGTAGATGGGGGTAGAGAAGAGGGTGAGGGGAAATGGGGGTAGAGAAGGGAGGAGGTGAGGGAGATGGGGGTAGAGAAAGAGAGGGGGTGAGGGGAGATGAGGTTAGCAGAAGGGAGAAAGGGGAATCAGATAAGGGGAGGAGGGAGGGCTAGAGAGGAGAATGGGGGGTCAGGGGAGGTATAAAAATGGAGGAAGAGTTGGAAGATGGAGGGAAGAGGTAGAAAGGAAGGAGGAGGTAAGAAGATTGGAAGAAGGAAGGAATGAAGGGAGAAAAGAAGAAGGAACGAGGAAGGGAGGAAGGAAGGAAGGAGGAAGAGGAGGTGAGGTACAGGAGGAATAACAAGAGGCAGGTGTCAGAGTGTAAAATGAACAGGTAAGGATCAGGGACTCCAGTACTGTAACACCATCAACGAGGTCACCTACAGCGACTACTACAGGATGCCAGGGAGGAGCTACGAGACCTGCGCCACACACACACACACACACACACACACACACACACACACACACACACACACACACACACACACTGTAATCGTCTACCGCCCTTGTAACCACTGTCAGCCACTGTAATAATCAACCACCATTTCCGTACACTTGCCGCCAGGTGATGTAAATTAAGATATGAAACAGAACAGTCTCAGGTGTGTGGTGGGTGGGGGTGGGTAGTCTGTCTGGGATTTGGGGAAAGAGGGGTGGGGGTGAGCAGAAGGTCAAGGGCAAAGCTGTTTAGGGGTGATAGGAGGGAGGGTACTAGACGGAAGAGGAGGAGGGAGGGCCAAATGGAGAGCTGGGAAGGGTTGGTAGGGGGACTTTAATAGTTGGGGATGGGGGGTGAGAAGGTGCGAGATGCTGAGTGAAGGGGTTGGGGAGGCGGGGGTAGTGAGGGGGAGGCGGGGTAGTGAGGGGGAGGGAGGGTTTGGAGGAAGTGAGTGAGGAAGATAGTGAGTTCC